GGTGAGCAGAAAAGCAGCAGAAATTTATGGGCTACATAGTGGCTAACACATTTGCATTATAAATCTCAATTACATAGCATTATTTGTTTACCAGCCTGCTCAGATGGAATTCTCATAAGGTGCCCTGCAGAGGAGGGTCATAAATTCTTAATAAACTGCAGTGCAGACCTTTGTATGGCACTGACCTAAATCCTGCAGCTCATCTCTGCACTACACTCATTTCTTTAAACTTTAATAAGGCTCTATTACACATATTTAACTGTTTTTCACATTCTTCAAACTAGACCGTGTCCACCTGCATATTTCTGTTTAACACAATATGCACGTATCAAAACATGTCTTGACACAGTCTTGCAAAGGGAAATGTAGGGTAAGATGCTGTGCTATCAGTCTGGGACCATCTGCCGATGTGTTTTATATAAGGAATAAACCCTCATGGGCCCTCCAGACCAGAGGCACAGAGCACAAGTGATTAATATGCCTAGGTTAATGAGCAGTCCCAGCATTGCCTTTGCTTCTCTGACTCTCTGTCAGTATGTATGCATCTGGGTGGTGACTCACTTAACTACTGCTGGAGTATGTAGACTATCCCAACATGCCATGCCATGCCTTGGCTGAAAGTGGGCCTGTGGCATCTCCTGCTTTGTTAGAGATACGGCCCTAAATATAAACTGCCGTGCAAATAAATAAATAAATAAAAACTGCCACCTGGCAATTATACTGCTAATTAAAAGGCGAAGCACTCTTAATGGATTCATCTCTCAGGAGGGATGTTCCTCTCTCCACACAAATGCACTGCCCCCTCTTTTTGCCTCTCCTATCTCTCCATCATTCTCCTCCCCTCTACCCCATGTCCATCCCTGGGAGCTCTGGCTGATGTGTTATGGGTGAGTGTCGCCTGGTCTTCTAGTGTTTTGGTCTCTGCTGAGAGAGAAAGGCTAAGAGGGACAGCTGGATGGGTTCAGAGGCTAGAGGGGTCCTCGATCTTGGCAAAGACTTGTGTTCCAACAGCCAAAGCTCTTCATTTATTCATACTTTGAGTGCTTCAAACCCCAAAATCCCCTAATAGTGCACACACACAAACATACACATCGGCAGAAAAAAAGATAAAGAAACAAGTACCTACAAATAGTTGAGGATGGAAGAATGAAACAGTCAACCAGATCTAACACATCTATACACATGTGCCTGCAGAGAGGCAAGCTAATCAACAGACGTGTTTGTATGTTGGCATACATACACACAAACACATACACATGCTCACACACCTACACAGTTTCCCATCTGTTTTCTTTGGGGGATTACACTGTTTTCATTAAAGTGAATAAGCATCTTCAAAAGCGGCAGTGAGGCATAAAAAAGTCACTTTCCAGAACAGCTTATTCCCTGTTCAAATGATTCGGATGCAATTAGGTCAGTACAGGTAAGACTTTTACTTTGTGATAGACGTGGGCCTGTAATATTAAGGATCTGAGGGCACCTTAAATAAAATATCAGACGTGCAGGGCTTGTGGAGGCCAGCAGCTCATTATGTCTGACTATGAGGAAGTGATCTCTGCTGAAAGCTAAAGGCAGATGTTTCCAGCATGTGTTGGCATAATTGAAACCCCAGGTTGTGCAAAAAAATCAGACAAAAGCAATTGATATACCTCTTATGCCCCCTTTGAATCTGAGTAAAATTCACAGAGAAGTGTTTTATAAGCATGGGCTTTTTTTTTGCCCGTACATATGGAATATACTTCATATGTGCCCCAGCAGCCCTAACACATCTCCTCTCATTACACAAACAACTGGTAGAAAAAAAAAGCTATGACATAAAACTACATGATCCTTAAATCAATTATTAACCACGGCCTTGTGTAGGAAGAGCTTGACTATTTCATCATGGTGCAAAATAAGCTTTAACAGATTTAAAAGTGACTGATGCAAAGCATTTAAATCCATGTGTTGTAGTCATCGCTGAAACATTCAATTTGAATGAACACGTCATTTAGCTAACAGACTTTGTGCTGTTACAATGTTTTGCCAATATATCTGTAGAGATGTCAACAAAACCAGAGTAAAAGAGAGACTGACAATGTAATCTAGATTGAAATCTTACAGCAAACATCTGAAGTCAGTGTGTGCCTCCCTGACTGTGTTCTTGGACAGAACTGTAAGAAACCCACAGATGGTATATCTCAACTACAAAAGCAAGCAATGTCTTTACTGGGGACGGCCATATCTTGTTGCAAACATCACAAACTAAACTCTTCCATGATTTAACAACAAAATGTATACATATTACAGACACAGAAGGAATAAGTCTCTGCCTATGAGATGGCACATGAATATGTTGGGGGATAAATCATGTACAGTGTCTCCCTGAGGAGTGGTACAGTGCAAGTATTTAAGTGAAATATGAGGCCATGGATAATTGAATGTGTGTTTCCCTATGTCAAGGACCATAGTCTCTGGGGTAAGGGATAGATGTGGAGGGATGATGGAATTGGGAATTGGGGGGTGGGAGATGGAAGGACAAGAGAGAGAGAGAGAGTGTTTGATCCTGAAAGAAATTGGTAAAGACTGGTAAGGGGTGTCTCATGAATAACACAAATCATAGCAGTTGTTAACATCTGAAGGGCTGTGCTGTGCGAGCCTTTCACTTGGATTTGATCATAAATGTGAAAATGAGAAAAAAATAAAATGATAAAATAAAAAGCAAGTGTGCAAAAAGAAATTTCGTGTACTGAATGCTGTTCCGTTATTATCTTTTTGTAGACATGGCTTAAAGTAACAAGAGCACCAGAATATTCTGAAATAAAAGTTTGCATAAAAGTTTGTCTTTAAATCCAGCTTACATGCAGCTCTGCTAAGGACAACGTTTAAAAACAAAAGCAGGGGCTGTCAAGATACAATCAGTATGAATGCTTTGCTTTTTCAAACTCAGTGTGAGCACTACAGCACGCGGCAATGTCAGTTCCTTCTGCAACATAGGAGCTGAGAATGAATTGTGCATTTGGGTAATGAAAAACTATACTCCAACTCAATGGTGTTAACAGAACATCCATGACTTAAGAGATAGTAAATTTAACTTCTGAGGTAAATTAATGAGCACCACAATGATGAAATGCACCGCTCATAGATACATAACTGAATGTTGTGCTGGCAGGGTTGCATTAGTGAAGTATGTGCCCCCGATCTTCTAACACAGTAATCACAAATACATCAGAATAATTACAATGGAAAAAACTTCTTTTGAAGCTTCTCATTTATCAACATCTTTCATGTTGTCCCCCTGCCTGAAACATGTCATTTTGTAATAGATTGACTTACAATGCATTAAGAAAGTATTCAGAAACTTTCACTTTTTTCACATTTTGTTATGTTGCAATCTTTGAAATTGTTTAAATTTATTCTTCCATCACCAGTCTACACACAATACCCCATAATGACAAAGGGCAAAAATATTTTTAAAATGTTTGCAAATTTATAAAAAGAAGAAAAAAAAAAAAAAAACTGAAATATCACATTGACATAAGTATTCAGACCATTTACTCAGCGATTACAGCCTCAAGTCTTCTTGAGTATGATGCCACAAGGTTTGCACATCAGGACTTAGTGTTTTCTGCCATTCTTCTCTGCAGATCCTCTCAAGCTCTGTCAGGTTGGATGTGGACTGTTGGTGGACAGTCATTTTCAGGTTTTTCCAAAGATGTTCCATTGGGTGGATGGGCCACTCAAAGACATTCATAGAGTTGTCCCTAAGCCACTACTGTGTTGTCTTGGCTGTATGCTTAAGGTGGGCCTTTGGCCCAGTCTAATGTCTGACTGCTCTGGACCAGGTTTTCATTAAGAATATCTCTGTATTTTGCTTAGTTCAGCTTTCCCTCAACCCTCACCAGTCTTCCTGTCCCTGCGGGTGAGAAAAACCCCCACAGCATGATACTGCAACCACCACGCTTCACCATTGGGATAGTATTGGGCAGTGTCTGGTTTCCTTCAGACATGACTCTTAGAATTGAGGCCAAACAGTTCAATCTTAGTTTCATCAGACCAGAGAATCTTGTTTCTCACAGTCTGAGTCCTTTGGGTGCTTTTTTTGCAAACTCGAAGCAGCTTTCATGTGTCTTTCACTAAGAGGCTTCCGTTTGGCAAATCTGCCATAAAGCCCAGATTAGTGGAGTGCAGCAGTAATGGTTGTCCTTCTGGAAGTTTCTCCCATCCCCACACTGGACCTCTGGAGCTCAGCAAGAATGATCATCGGGTTCTTTGTTACCTACCTTACCGAGACCCTTCTCCCCTGCTCAGTTTGGCTGGGTGGCCAGTTCTAGGTAGAGTCCTGGTTGTTTTAAACTTCTTCCATTTAAGAATCATGGAGTCCACCGTGCTTTTGGGAACCTTCAATGCAGTGGAATAATTTTTGTATCCTTCCCCAGATCTGTGCCTTGACACAATCCTGTCTCTGAGCTTTGTGCAGGCAGTTCCTTCAACCTCATGGCTTGATTTTTGCTGATGTGAATTGTCAGCTGTGAGATTTTATATAGACAGGTGTGTGCCTTTCCAAAACATGTCCAATCAAATCATTTACCACAGGTGGACTCCAAACAAGGTACAGAAACATCTTATCTACTTATGTCAAAGTGATATTTAAATTTTGCCTTTAATTAAATTTGCAAAAAATTATAAAATTCTGTTTTAAATTTGTCATTGAGAGTAGACTGACAAGGGAAAAATTTAATTAAAAATGATTTTGGCATAAAGCTGGAACATAAAATGTGAAAAAAGTGAAGGGGTCTGAATACTTTTTGAATGCACTCTATGTTGTAAAGTTTGTGCATGAGAAAGTGAGTAACTTCATTTTATTCACTCTTTGTGTTGCTGCTCTTGTTGATAATTTACTGGGTCCTGACAGTGTCGCAGTGGCAGATTGCTACAATTCAAATTATATATTGAGGTCGCAGACACAAAGGTGTAGTCTACATCAAACCCTTGGGGAAAGTGGTTCATTAATGACTTACATTGTCCGCGATGGTGCGGCCCAGCTTGTCCATTCTTGATCCTGCCTCTGCAATTTTCTTGGCAGCGCTGATGACATCAGACGTATTCTTCAACGGCCCTTTCCCCCTGGGGAGAAAAATTCGAGGGATCAGTCACTGTTTCTGATCTAATGCAATCTCATTCAAAATGCAGAAGCTGCATCTCAGTCATGGAGCGGCTGTTTGTTTTGGAAGGGTGTTTTTCGGTTAGAGGCAAGTATGGATAGAGTAGCATGACTTCTGGGAATAGTTCATGCAAACGTCACAGAAATACATCACCGATGAGTCCATACACACATAACACAAACACACTTGACACCATATTGTTCGGTCAGAGCTGAGAATGTTTTATAACCCATTAAATGCAGAGGGGCAGCTTTCAATCTCAGGGCTGTGACCAGACCATTTTTCCAGTAGTTTAGCATATGATGGACAAAATATATTGATAATGGGCTTTTAAGAAACTGGCAGCACAATCATACTCAGGAATTCTGGGGGAAACCCTGATTCAAGAGGCCATCTTATTATTCTGGACACCAGTGCCATATGCTTTCTAATAAAATGGAAATAATCAGTTCAATCTATTTGGCCCCTTTTATTCAAGCAGCTTTAAAGGGTTTATTAGTAGGCTAAGAAACAAGTTGGACTGGTTTCATGACCGTTGCTGCAGAAATATTGGTTGCCCGAAAAAACTCTACACACACACCAGCTCTTCATTTTGATGGTCGTTTTCATCCAGGTATGGGATTAAGAAAGAGGACCAAACACAAAGGAGAGAATTGAAAGTAGAGACATCAGAATACAATTCAATTTGAAGCACTGGTCATTGTCCTAAAATAACACATCCAGCCTTGACCTTCTTGAGCCAAACAAAGCCATTCCCAACATGGGTCAGTCCAGCCCTGACCTGACCCAGTGTAAAGCTTGTCAGCCATTTTCCATTTTTTTCTACCCCACAAGGGACTCTGGGACACAGTTGGCAAGAGGCACAAATTGGATTCAAAGCTGCTCTCTCCAGGCTAAAAAGTGAGCCATCCAACACAGAACAGATGGAATTTTGTGTTCTGTTCTCTCGCTTCCTCTTCCCTCCCCTCCCATCTCCAACCCTTCCCCTCTCTTGCTCTGCTGTAAAGCAAGTCAGGGGCCTAGTGGAAGAGGCCACGCGTCAGAGCACATACTGGAAGCTCTCTGGGGACAAGTAAACCCCTGGAGACAGAGCTGGAGGCACTGTGATGGGTTCTGGGAGAAAAAGCCAGCAGAGTGTTTTTAATAGAGTGTTGCTAGTATAATGCTGTACTTTGCCCCAGTAAAAAAAAACATCACATCACAATGCTTAAATACAGCAACCACTGATTTCTCCCCAACCACTGATTTCTTCCCTAAAAATATCCCTTCCCCTTAGCCCTAAGAAAGGAAGGGCTAGATGCTATATTTCCTTACCATTTCCAGCTCTGTGTAGGTGGCCAAGTGACGATTGGGAAAAGCACACAAGAGGCCATGAACATAGACAGGACACCCTCCTGACAAGCGGACACTCTTGTAAGATTTTCATAGAGGATTTATACATGGAGAAGCGGCTTGGGACTTCAGGTCTGGTGACAGCTGCAGGCCTCCAGATGGGTGTAAGCCACACTGAACTGAGCACTCCACAGCAAAGAATGCTCTAAGACAGGTGGCTCCCAAATATGTTGCATGTTTCCAAGCCACACATGCCTTATTCATGAGAGCCACCATACAGCCATAAGCGATGCAGGAGTCAACAAGAATCTCTCACTCTCTGCAGATTTGTCAGGAGAGAGGTCCAGATCAATTACCTCATACAGCATTAACCTTGGCAGGGCTTTGTGCCAGCTCAAGGTTGAGGGGGCAATAATTTGGGTGCGGGCTGAATTAGCCAGCTACTGACCTTCCAGGTGCTACTGCTGCATACAAGAGTGAGGGCATAACATGAAGATATATATTCAGCCCAACAAACATCAATGTGTGTTCCCTCAAACACACACCAGGATACACAGAGTGCAAACCAAGGTCTGAGAGCAAAAAGTAACAAGACAAAGTTGTGGTATTGGCTCGACTTTACAATATTATTTTGAAAGGTATTAAAAACCACAGCTGAAAAAATCATGCATCCTTCAGAATTCTATATTCATACACATTTCATGAATCATCATGAAAATTTAAAGAACAAAGAAGTAACTTATGATCTGCGATCTTAGGTTAGGTTAGACCACATGTGCATGTGAATTTATAAAATCCCTGTGAATAATGTACATATGATGAGGATGTCACAAAACTTCTGATACATATTTAATTTGGAAAACCTTAGCTGTTGGTGAGATGCAACAATGAAACTGCATTTCAAATTTAAAACATCTTGTTTTTCAAGCCGATTTAGACTGGCGGTTTGTTATTAAATCCTAGATGAAATATGCAGAGGATAAGAGGCTTGGAGGTTTTTTTTTTTTTTTGTTGTTGTTCAAAATCCAGCCACTGCCTATAAAATGTCCCTCCAGGCATCCAATGCAACATAGCATTTCTCTTCTTGCATCTCGCTCTCATGTAAGCTACTGTGAAATAGACCACAGGTTATCATTCTCTTTTTAATGAGTGAACCCTGTGATTAAGTGCTCATGATTGCTGGTTACAGTAAGCAGCTACATTTTTGCAAAATCGACACCAGATGTTCGGCACCAACTCAATACTTTTACGATACCGTAGTATTAACTGACAAAAAATGCCCAAACAGTCACATCTTGCATTCAGTGCTTAGCATCTCAGTATTCAAAGTGTTGAGGACCTATGCTGTAATTCACAAATTATTCACAATTTAGCTCATATTTGGTTCTTCTTTGCTTTTTGCTGCCTGTCTAGTTTTATTGCTTTTGATTGGAAATGTCTATCAAAAATCACTGAATCATCAAAATTTGGAATTACATAAAATTAATACTTTTACTCGATAAGGAGTGACACTCAGCCAGTGACTGTAAGCTTGTAATGGTATAAATGGAGAAAATGAGAAAACCTTCTGGTAAATGCAGCACTGAAAAAGCTTCAGTGTGCCGTTTACCTAAGGGGAAACTTTTTTTTTTTCCATTTGAATTCTTTGGGTCAGCTTTGTAAGAGAAAAAGAGCCTTGATGTTGATATAAAGATGTCACTTCAATCAATAACCTCCTGAAATGTGTCTATGTGTGTGTGTATATAAAGCGTACACGCCACACACACATACATATGTATGCATGTCTATATAGTTACATAATTTTATGTAAATAATAATAATACATTAAACAAAGCAGCATCATTTACATCTGTGTCTGTGGATGAATAGGAAGCAAATAAAAATTGCAGGATTCTCTGCAACCTCAGTCAAATCCTGGATGTGTTAATATTTTCAACTCTGTTACAGCTTTCCAGTATTGTACTTCTTTGGCCAAGGAGACGGGATCTTTGAACCATTCAGAAGATGAAGGCAGAGTGGCAGCATTTCATCATCATTATGGACGTGACTCAGAGTTAGGCACAAAATGTCCTCTGAGTAATTCATTTGAAAATTTAAAAAGACAGTCATACAAATATAGTCAGGCAGTTAAAATGTCCCCTCAAATCCTCCACACACACAAACACATTCACACCGTGTGAGCTAGATGGTTGCACAGAGATAGAAATGCTGTCCAATCCTAATCAGAAAGTGTCAAACTGACCCCAATTTCAATATCACGTACACACATGCATTCACAGTATCATACACACAAAATAGATTTTTAGATCGTCTGCCAATGAGGTTAAAGTAGCTTCTGTCTCATTTACATAAAAAAGCTTCCTGGATTCCTCTGGATTTTATGTCTTCTTCGTTAGAGGCATAACAGGAAGCACAGCTATGGTGAATAAAACAATGACAACTTACAGTGTTGTGGTATTCAAACATACAGTATACACTCTGACATAGACGTGGTTCATGCTTGTGTAGCCAGGTTGTTTTCCATTATACAAGACTCTGTGAAAGCTGGAGAAAGTCTTAACACTGTGCATTGCTAGTAGTGCCAATGGTTCATTATAGTTGTCTGTCAACACAAGGGAGATCACTATATCAATATACTAAAAATAAAAACTACAAAAAATTTACAATCTTCTAGTTATGTCTGTTATGTCATGTGTTTCTTAAGGGTTTAAAAAGAGTGTTTTTACAATATCAGAAATCATTACATAAGTGTTGTCTGTGCCAGGGTACCAATTAACTTGGTAGTGACATACCTTTGTTTTTATTTTGGTGGTGGTCATATCATTTTGTTTACATTTAGATCTTTAGACTTTCCTTGCAATGTTATATAACCCATGCGCTGTTTAAATATTTCATCTCTCAAGTAGTTAGTTACGTTGGCAATATTTGCCAAACAACAACAGCTTTTCTGCAGAAATCAATGCTTGTGAAGTCTGAACCAAGTTTGTAAATTTTCAGCAAATATCCACAGCTTGCAACCACAGACTCTTTCAGATATGTACTGTTTTTAGTAGAGGCAGATTTTGAAGCCATATTTTCTGCAAAGATGTTTTGTTCTATTCCCGCATTCATCATGACTTGATATTTTTCTGTTTCAGCCATTTCTCTGCCATCTTCATTGTCTCACCAAACCTCTGGCAAGGGTGAATATGGCCACCCTGTAACAGCTCTGCATTTAAGATTTACAGTGCACACCCAGCTTTATTCATGAACCAGGGAGAGGGAGATTTGACGCACTGCTTATGCTTGTGCATATTAAGATTAAGGAAGGATGGAAAAATAATCAAGAAGAAAATCCTACCTACAGTGCTGCTTAAGGAAAATGAAGAGCATTGATGCATGAATACTAGTGTTAAACTGGGTACATAGCATTGTGCAGATAGGGGCAAATGCTGGGAAACAAATGTAGGCTTATTTGGTGATGTTGGGTGTATTTGACACAGGCTTAACTTAAACACGCATTCTGTCTTGGAGGCATTTTGCTTGAATTGCACAACTGCTGGAATATTAATGTGAGGAGAGGTTAAGATGGCATATGCATATCTGCCCTGTGAATGAAGACAGAGCTACAAAGACTAAAAGACAAATACACAGAACACAAAAATTTCACTCACATCGATTATCAATCAAAGGGATTATTTAAAATGTGCAGCAATACAACAAATCATTCATTCAGATGTATTTTGATGCCAGAAAAACATCTACAATTACAAAATTGGCCATAATTTGCTAGGGAGGAAAAATGGCTCCGGGTGTGAGCCAAGCTGTTAGTCCAAACTCACCTGGTGAAGTCTGTCATCTCCATCATGATCATGCACATCTGCTTAGCCAACACAATGATGTCATTGCCGCTGTCATCCCACTTGGATACCTCAGCATCCAGCTTGCTCTTCTCTTCCTGGAAGCTAGCCACCTGTTCAGCAATCTTCGCCTTCTGCTCCTGGGGCAACTGGGCCATGATAGCCTGAAGGAGGAGTTATGGAAAGAATAGACTGTTAGCGCACTAGACCTCAACATACTGTTACTGAGGCCATTTCTGTATCTCCAGGGCATTTTGTTTTACATCATCCCCTATGGTTTCCATGGATGCACAAGAGTTTTCTTGCCAGGGAAGAGCATGAACCGCTGTGTTCCTAGTTTGACTTTTTTCATACATTCTTACATTTGTACACATGCTTGAATGATAGCTATACTATTTAGGTATTACTATTTATTAGGGGAATCTAATGCAATCCAGTGCAACAGCTTTGGCATATTCTTCCCTTATGAACCTCACAATGTTCAGTTTTTATTAAAACATTGCAAAGGATTTTAAATAAACTATTATCGTTATTATTACTGAGGTTAATTAATGGTAGCATATATTGAAATGCGCTTCTAAGGGTGGAGGTCTTATGTGCTAAGATTGCAATTCATGTAGCTATTTTTCAATCTCCTCTTTATAAATAAACATCAAAGCTGCAAGATTGACACATCTCTGATAGGCCCAGGTTAAATGGGGATCTTTTTTTTTTATATACAATAGCTGGGTTCAAAATGGGGCTCACTGCCTACCAAGTAATATCATCTGACCTCCCCTAAAAATATATTCACTTATTGAAGTCAGTGCTACTGTCCACTGAAGAAGATCAATATAAGGGCATTTGTTTAGCGGCACTTAATATCACGTGCAAATTTGTTTAGCACCATTTCTATCCATCCTCTTAGGCTTAGACTGGTTAAAGGGCAGTTTCCAAACAGGCAATCAGACATTCAATGAATGAGCTCGTGAGGCCGAAGTGGGCAGACACTTAAGAGCAGGAAATCGAATATCATCGCAAGAGCGTCCATTCCATTACTGGTAAATAGGACTCTCTCTCTAGAGTCGCCTAAGCTTAAGTAAAGCTGCCCAGTGAAGTGCAAAGATGAAACCCCCCCAATCTACCTAAACAGTCAGATAATGTTCGGTGAACAAAACAAACATCATGGAAATGTACTGAGGGATCACTCAATCATTTTTAAGGTTTTTAAATCGAATCATTACTCTGTATTTTTAAGTCATAAATGCAGTAAGCCTCTAAAGTTTCAGTAAAGTGTGAGTCTAAAATGGGCAAAAGTCGTTTGTCAAGGGAGTAGATATAACCACTGACAATAGTTGCTTTCACACATGCACTGCAACCCTGATCTCATCCAGACAAATCCCGGAGGAGCTGTATGTGAGAATGCAAATGTCTGAATCAGTTGGACCGGACATAAAACGGACTTTACCCTGCCAGCTCCCTAGTACTGTTCGATTGATCCAGTGTGTGACTAAAGCAGGTCATTGTCTGGAGAATTCACAGTGAGCAAGAGGGCATGTTGATGATGTTTCTATTATGCCACTAGCACAAAATTGGCAGAATAAAAACATCCGAGAGTGAAGAGGAAGGATTGCCTAACTGGAGAGACAATCTCATTCTGGAACTTCTGTCAGTAAGGACAAATTCACAGCAGGGAACAGCAAGAGATGCGGTTCTTTGAACATTGTCCAGAGTTCATATGAGAACACAGTTAATGACAATGCTGGTCTATCAAGTTGATTACTGTGTGGATAACCACTCAAGACAAAAGGACGGACAGAGCAACAATTCAAGCACACAAGAGCTTAGATTCACCTCTTCTAAGAAGAGGACAAATAACAGCAGACTTATCATCTGCTGAGAGTCTTTTGAGGTAGCCTACTGAGTGCTGGAAAAGTGACCTGAGCAATCAACATATCAACCGCCAACACGAATTCAGAAAAGGACTTGATATCTGAAAAAACAGATAGCGTAGATAATTGAAATAATTCTAAAATACTGGAGGATGTGATATGCAAAAAATAATTCATTATGGTTACTCTCTTATGCCTACTCAAAAGCCATAAGCATGGATTAGACAGAAGAAAGGAAGACATCATGGAAAGATCACCAATCTGCCTTAAGACTTAGAGGCTGAAGGATACTTCTGCCTGAAGACTTCTTTTGTCTTGAACTCACTTGACAAGCAGGTCTTTGAGTTGTGGGTAGCACCTCTTTCATCACAACAAACAAGACCTTGTTGTAGGAGTTGTAAAAGGAATAACTTTTTACAAATACTTGGGTCACATCTTCTATGCTGGCACCATGCCAACTGTGCATAACCCTTTAACATTAAGTATGAAGTGGGGTGTTTTGAAAGAATAGTCGCTGGAACATTAACATGAACATACTGTTACTAAGGACAATAAATAAATCTGCACTGTAACAAGTAAAACAATTACAAACTACAGTGGAGGGCATGAGGTATGAAACTGCTCCTAAAATGTATTTCATTGTACCAAGTGATTACATTTTTCTTCTAACACCTTGTCAAACACGCAACATTAATTTAATCAAGTTGGATGGCAATATTCAACTCCGTAACTGAAGCATATAACACAAGCTTGTAGGTCAATATTTAACCATCTTGAAGTACGCCTCTGTTCAGTGGGGCACTACTGAATGCAATCTCCTATATCAAAAATATTAAAAATATAATTGTGTGTACTTTCAATATGTATGTGTTTTTCTTGTGCAAATATCTCCCTCTTCTCACAATTAACAACACAATTAACACAATTTAAGATTTTAGAGGTCTGATCAGACTCAGGAATGTTTAAATACTACAAGAAGCAATGTAGAACTTACCCGTGCACTCTGGCCAGCAATAAGCTGGTCATCCTCTGTCTGCACACTGGTCCTGCTGCGAACATCAAAGTCCTCAGTCTCAAAGTCAGAGTCATCCAACTCCTCTGGAGTCTGTCAGGGTACAACAGAGTAGAAGAAAAGAGCAAAGGAAGGACAAAAGAGGAGACAAAGATCAAAAGGGTGGGGAAAAGGAACAAGAGAAATGTAGAAAAGGGAAAATGGGTTAAGAAAAAGCAGTTAGTTGTGTGTGGAGAACATAAAATAATATTGGCATTCTATAGCCCTTTGAGCATGATTAAATAACCAACCTGCTTACTATCTATGAGAAATGCCTTGGCGCTGCCAGCCAGGGCAGTGTCAGATAAATGTCTTCCTCCCCATAGCTTGGTACAAGAAAACTGTAAACTCTAAATGAATTTGTAAATCAAGTGTAATGTGCTGCCTGTGCATTTTGAGAGGGAAAATGAAGGTACGAGCTGGTATGAAACATATTGGGAGCAAAACGCTACAGAGTTCCATCTGTCGCTGCTATCTGTAATATGGCGGGTGACGCATGAGTTGTGTTCTTCTAGAGTGTTGCTACTTCATCTCTGTTTTTTCACCTCTTCCCTAGCATTGAATACAGAACAAGCCACGAGCAACTATTTTTCCATAAATATTAATATTCAAAAGAATTTCTCAACAGGTCATGCTTACGGCAAAATACAATACTGACTGACAGGAAAATGTATTTGGTGGTGATATGGGCACAGGGAAGATGATGTGGACAGATAAAGGTGCATTATCACACCTGTGCCGCTACTTGTGCTTATCCAGCTGTCTCAATACCTCCCTTCTGTAATGGATTTGGAGCCCTCACATCTAAAAATAGCTGAAGGTCTCTGAACAACCTTACACTGCTTTATGGAATGTAGAGATGCTCTTGTTCTCAAGGGAATAGGGATATGGTTTCAGATACAAAGCTGTAGTGACTCATAGGCATCTCTTTCAACCCAGACAATGCTGTTCAGTGGGGCAGAGATATCACCTGCTGTGGCCTGTGCAACAGATAACCTGTGAATGTGGGAGGCTCAGAAATGATAGCTCATGGTGAGCACCAAATGGGAAATTACTGTAAAGAAGCAACAACAATTGCCTGCAGTTTAATAAAACAAAGGTTTTGACAAGGTAGTAGTGCTTTCACAGTAAATGAAATGTTAATACTGTTTTTCGTGCTGTGGCCAAATACATTGCCCAGCATCTGAAATGCTCAGTTTCACCTCTCTGTGGCATATATGACCAGATGGTAATTGAAGTGCCATAGTTAATAGAAGACAGGGACAGAGTTAAAATTACAGTATGACAATGCTAAAAAGCAGACATTAGCCTTATCTAGTATTTTTGTCCGCTGCAGTAGATATGGACAGGACAGTACAACAGTAAAATCCCCCATTGTTATTCTTTTGTGACATTCTGCTCATTCTGCCTCTGTGAGTATACCATTTTTCTTTTTTTTGAGGACAGAGCCGGCAAAATCACCTTGGGCTGTGACGCACTGCACAAATCATAAGGTAACGACAGCTGCCCCCTGTATCTTGCTTTCAGCGGCTCCCTGACTTTGACACGGTTTGATGTCTGGCATATTCTGTGATGTGGCTGTAGGTGGGGAGAGGGTTTTACCCACCTGTCAAATATCCGAGAGATGTCCAACACAGACTGCGTATGCACCACTTACAGAGGTTAAAGACTTGTCTATCTTAAGTAGCCCCAACTACACACTTGTCTGTTCTGATTTAAGAGTAGGCCACTGTGCAGTTCATGCATGTGAGGGTTTATAGAAAGATGCCTAGGGAGTGTGTGCTTGTGCGTGTGAGTGTGTGCGGACATGCCCTCGAGAGAAATTGTGTCATAGTCCTCTCATGCTGATTTGCAATATTTTATATTTCTCTGGACTTAGAATTGAACATGCCTAGTTTCACATGTGCCACTGAGGGACAGTTCAGCCAAAGAACTGGTTCTTGAGGACAGAGATTAATGTATTTGATACATTTGTCTAATCTCATTACAGACAACAGAAATTAAGAGTAGGCTTAAGGAAACTGCTGTGCGGATGCTGCTGAAAATTCAATAACTATTTCCAGCTGAATGAAAACCACAAAACTTGAGATGATTACTTCTCACACCTGATCATGAAATCCAGGCAAACCTGAGAGCTGAATCCTTTTTCTTTTTCTTTTTTTAAGATAATGAATGAAGTCTAAGTTGAGTCTCATCGCTATCTCCTGCTCTCAGTTAATGGCAGACTGAAGCTGAAGGATTAATTATAAATAAGCAAGATTTTCATAAACCCTCCGTTACTTTTACCACACATGCATACCTACACACACCCACCCACCAGGTAGTGTTCAGCACACGCCACAGGCCCAGTGTTAAAAGCTTAATCAATCTGGATAACAAGAGTGGAGCTGGGGCAGATGGAAATTGAATGTAGTTCTCAGGCTTGCGGTCTGACTAAAGAATGCTAATTAAAACCTCCATCTTAAATCAATTGCTTATTATAATGCAAATACTGCATAATGGTCTCTCTCTCATTTGGTTTTTGTCTATGTCTGTGCAGCATTATTAATGAGAGCCCAGGCACAGCTTTGGAGCACCACTGTCAACACAAAATGTGCCGTCAAGACTAATGATTCCAATTCTAAAGATTAAAGTGTTGAAAATAATGGAAGATGACATAATACAACCAACTAGCACATTGTAACTCAATGTAGTAAATACACAATTAGGTACTGTTACACATGAGAAGCAGTTTAAACAAATCAACTTACTTCTTAATATATAAGAAATTAAATTTGGCCATTTGAAGTAGCTAAGTAGTTATACTTTAAAACCTTAAGAACTATCAATTTCTCCTTACAACTGCAGTGGGTTCTGTTTTCAGCTCATTGTCAGTCAATTAGGTAACGCTTGAATGGTACCCAACTACCATCTGTCTCAGTTATAGTTCCACTCAAGCAAAGGCCATTAACCCACAGACAACTAAGGCTGTTGTTACACTAGATTGCAAGTCTGGTCAATTAGGTCAGCTCTTGCCTGAGACAAGTTAATCATTGGCTTCTAGGACCGCACGCACATACATTTTCTCGCATACTATTAAAAATAGAATCTGGTCCACAAACCAGTGGCCATGTATATATAATTACATTACACTACAATAATCAAGGACTCTCACAATGTTGTGGATAAGATAACTTCTGTTGAAATGTTTTAAATTAAACCACATCAAATCAACGCTGCCCATGGTTAAGGAATGTTATTCTTTATACAGGGTTTTTGTTGCTTTCAGAGAGGTTGTAGCTCCTTAATGTGATCAAAGTGAAACCTTTCTATAAATGTGCAAACATCCAGATATGAAAGAGTATTATTTATTCGTGACATTTTGAACTGACAAAAATGTATAAAATACAACTCACAATGTGAAGACTCTATACATATTATAAAAGAGCAAATGCTGTCATTAAAGACAAATAGTGATTTTCACACTGCAATGATCTGAAAACCAAGTCTCATGTTGCAAAGGTGGAAAAAATAGTGTGACTTACTCTGATCATGAGGACAGCCTTGCGAATGTCACGAATGCCATCATATACAAGACGGGATGCGTCAATGAACTCATTCTCATCCACAGGTTGTGAGGGGTTTGCACTCAAGGCCTCCACCGCAGACTCCACTTGCTCTGTGAACCGTGGCATGACTGAAGGAAGGTGAGATGAAGGGTGGCAGGTAGAATGGAAAAAGAAGAAAACATCAATGAAAATTCACAAAAACACAGAGAGCATTGGAACATAAGTAAAGACAGCACAGCGTAGAAGACAAACAGTATTCGTACACCTTGAATGAGGCATGTGTTATGTAACATGAATATTTGAATTGAATACAGACAGAATGACATGTTGCATAAACCAACTGTCAGCCACCACCTCCAACACAAAACCGAAACAGAGTCAATGAGTTTGTGAAATCATTAGCACTATGGTGAGAATTTACATCTCTTCCAGGTCTATGACATTCCTCCCAACACTGCAGGTTATCAAAAGCTAATTGACATATCATCAACACAATCAGTCTATTAAGGAAATTGTGTAATTATTGATTATTATCAATGATCCCCTCAGAGATAAAAGTATGGCCTAATTCTGATCTGTTGGAAGAAAAAAAAACAATGGAAACAGCTGCCTCAGAATAATCAATTAAAAAATTAAGTGATTACATTTAACTTTGACAGATGAAATGTTGCACCATTGATCTACTCACTCACTGCCTTATGTGGTTACAGGAAAAATATGCAACAAAATGCTGAAGCAAATAGATCCCAGATTTGGCATAACAGCATTTTCCAATAGAAGGTTTCACAAAGCTGTCCCAGCGGACATGTATTTTGCTCCACTGATGATATAATAACAGCTCCAGAGGGCTCTCCAGCACATCTCCATTATTAGTATTTCAAATTCACTACTTAGGATTCAGCTGGGCCTTCATGGGTGAGGCATGGATGTCAGGATGCAGATGTGGAGGAAGAGAGCAGCAAGAGTAAGAAAAAAAGAGGATTTGGTTTTGTGCTTGCAGACCGTTTATAACCTGGAGGCTTCTGTATGAAAATTATGTTAAAAAGAAATGTGAAAATCTGGTCATATTGGGATTTTTACAGTCACAGTCATCACTTTCCTCAGCATGTTACTGATGACTCTTTCAAATCATTCCAGAGAGACAAAATAATGCATGGTTCACCATGTCAAATGTACAGCTAATGAACTTTAGGGGCTGCAACCAACTTTTAGTCATATCATTTTTCTTAGCAACATCCTACTACCAAACCAAACACATTATACTGAGATCATGAGCAAACATTGCCTTGCATTATTGACAGTCACCCATCTCAGCCAAAGCAGAAATCCTGCTTAAACTACAACTACAACTGAACAGTGCCTGCTGTGCAGATTAGTAGTGTCAGTTGAGTTGGAGGTAGTTGGATCTCACAATGTAGCATCCATAATAAATAAGGGAATGGCTGAAAACAGCCTTTTCTACGCCAGTTCTGGGTATATCTCAAAAATGTTTTCTTTTTTAAATGCACTTAATATTCATACTTGAAATACCATAAATGGGACACCCATACCAAGATAAGTTAGATAATAGATAGGTTCAGACAATTTGATACATGTTGAATCCATAATGAGCAAACAAGTAGCAAAACATTCAAGGGGGTTGTACATGTTCACTACGCCTGTATCACTGACAAAGACCATGTAAGGAAATAAGATAAAAAAAGAGGGAGGAATGTTTGACCCTCTTTCTCGTCACACTCTGCCAAAACATGGCATCCCTGTCGGGTGCATTGTATCCTGGCTTTACGAGTAATCCACCAATATGGACGCATCAGCTGTTAAGCAAAGAGCATAGGTTCTCCCTTTTGAGTGTATCCACTAACTATGACTGGGCAAGTGCAGAATCACAAAAATAAGGCACATAGATGCTACAGTAATTCGAAAGCTAGAGACGTAATCATGGTCTGTCCAAGTCTAAGTTATGAGAATTTGAACATGTAAATGCACAGTCTCTTTGGCAGAAACCGACCACTGGTTTTCATTACATTATTATGTTTCTGTGGTACCTGTGTCAGTCAGTAGCTTGGTAGCCTCCAAAACCTTCTCTGTGTAAACTCCAGGTTCATAATTGTCCATTTCAGAAGTGACCACATGGACAACTCTGGCAGCTCGGCCTCGAATAGCCCCAGCAGTGCGATCCAAACCATCAACATCTTTCTCCTGCAGAGCGATGACACACTTATTCACATCCTCCAAGATGTGGTTCTCTAGGGACACAGAACAATGATGCAGTTATTAGTGTATACTTTTTATTAGATGAACACTTTACTCCAAACATGTCATCAGCCTGCCTGGTATACTGGTATTTTCATTTATTTCATCCATGACTTGCTAAAAAGAAGCAAATGCAAAAATGGGACATGTTCATATTAGTAATAATGACAAAACACAGAGTGAGGAAATTCTCAGCCTTCATTCTGTGTTTGTATAGGGCTGAAATTAAGAGGGCCACTGGGAGGCTTAAGTGTAGGATGGGGAGGGCTGAAGACAAATTCTCAGATTGCTTATTAATGGGGAGCCTGTAAAATGCAAATGTCCACTGTGTAAATTACAGTCTGTCCTTGGCTGGAGGTGAGAGAAGTCACTCTGCTTAATGCTTAATGAGAACTCTTTAAGGGTATGCCTGACAAACCATTTGTGTGCTTTAACACACGTGACAGGATGTCAATTTCAGACGCAGTTCTGCTGATGCTTCAATGCTTTCCTCTGTGGAACCCAATCAGCCTTGGTATGTATGGCTCTCATCAGAAGAGACTAATACTACAGATCCTTTACAGCTGTTTTAACTCCTCTTAAGAGAGGTCTTAAATGCTGTGTGCAAATCTCTCTCAACTCTAACCAATAGTGTTGTCTACCAATAAAGAGTGCACTGTCTGTTTTCACATTTCAAAACATCACAAATCCTGATCGTTCCAACAGTACAACACATTCTTTTGTCCCTTCATGGCAGTAACATGCAAATGAATAGCACTTACCAGAGACACAAAGGAAGTCATCAATGGATGTTATGTCATCAACAGCATCAGTGAGGACGCGGACCTGCTTCTCCCACTGCTCCTTGAACAAATCCATATTGTCCTGGGCCACTTTACTGTTGGGCTTGGCAGCAAGGGCTAACGCTGCATTAATCACCTGTAATCACCCAATTATAGCCATTAAAGCTCCATTACAGCATAGCCCTCAGCCACAACATTTGCATAGGTTGATTGCACGAAGCCCCCCACTCTCCCACCTCAGTGTTGGGACTGCAGCATGAAGCCAATTCATTCCTGGCAGTGATTATAGACACAGGGTGTTTTGAAGGATTGAATGAAATAAAACTAATAGCTGCTTGTTTTTGAGGAAGAAACATCTGTGGGTATCAAAGCTGAGGATGAATGGGAGTCATTAGATGAGATTAAAAAGAGCAGTGGCAGCAAAGTGGAGAGCTGGCGCAGCTCAGAGGTACAGATGAGGGACTGGTATTTAGCATGGTAAGACATATGAAAGATGGGTTCCATGGTGGACACAACACATGGACAGCAAGACTTCAGGTATTGATGTTTCAACTTTTTTCCCTTGCTCCACCTGACTGCTCTATATCCATTATGATGTACATGAAATTAAAACCACAGAGTTGGGTCAAACCATTTGCAGTAAAAATATGTATTAATATTTAATTATGTATTTACAGTGTTAGAAGTGGATGAATGTTTATAAACTTTTATTTTTATATTGGCAACTCTAGTGCCAATATTAAAACACAATGTGGCAGACACTCAAAGAGGTGCACAATCAATGAACTGGGTAGAAGTTGCGGACAAAACTGCCAAAGTACCTGTGGGCAGAGAGTTTCCAGTTGAGATGCTGCCATGCGGACCAGCTTCACTCCCTCCTCATTGTTGGAGATGGAGCATGCCAGGTTGGCCACCTAAGCATAAAAGAAAAACACACAAATCTACTTTTTAGCCACAGACAGAGACTCTGACACAGAGTTATTTTGAGAAAAAAGAGAGCAATACATAGATACATAATTAAACTTAATAAGTTCATTATGGGAGCCTGGTTTCGAGATTCTTCTCTATCAGAAATGGAGCAGCTCTACAACATAACTAATCCCTGTGGAATACAAACCCACTGCTGAGGATTAATTTATAAAGCTGCTAAAAATCATACAATATGATGCCACAGAGGGGAAAAAGGCAGAAGTAGGAGGGAAAACAAAAGCTACGCTACTGAATGAATAGATAAAATAAAAGTTTTGTATTTGTTTCCCAAAAAATAGTTCATTTTCTCAAAATGCAAATATAAGTTGTAGCTGCTAACTCAAGGACTGGGTTATTCTCAGCGACTAAATCACAAGGCTGCCAGATTGCCATTACACTCCTGGAATCAGAGAGGAAAATATTCCTGACACTTTCAAAAACCGAGCAGTCGAGTGAGAGCTGGAGTGCTGAGGTAAGCAAGTCTTGCTTTGTGGCTGCCAATGTTTATGGTTTGTGAGTATATTTTCATGTATTGACCAACAAATCAAGCTCTCCCACAATTATTTCTAAATATTCTCACATCTTCCAGAGTAACATTATGCTTCTACTCATATTCAGAAAATTTAGGTCAGATACTATGAAGATTCCCATTGGTTGGTTGGGATGTGCTGGCAACAATGCTGAAACAGAATGCCTGGGATGTGAGGAACTGTGCCAAAGTAGGATTATCCAATAGACAGAAAATGTGCTGAAACATAATCAATTACAAAGGCAAAAACCAACGGCTGATTGCATTATAGCAGGAACAAGGACTGAAAGGTTTTTAAGAAAAAAAAAAAAACCTGGGCCTTATTTTTGTAGCTGCAGCCATCAATCTGTTATATTCACCAATTCAAATGCTGAGATCTGGGTCACGCAGCAACATAAGCAGTGAGAATCTCATATGTTGTAAACAAAACTCTATTTTTACAATAACATCTAAAATTGAGTGCAACAGAACTGTCAGTTATGATCATACGCTGCATTTAAGTACTACATGCAGTCACAGCTATAGTCGGATTGAGCAAAGCCAAACTTTGCATTTGAAAATCAAATGAATGTTTATAATGGATAGCTTGGGTATTAATCTTAATATTTGTAATTATTTTCTCTTCAAAATAACAAGGTTACAAACACAATTTTTCATTCAACTTGTGCCATCCACTGATTGCTCATGTTTGCCCTACTGAACTCTACTGAGTTCTAGGGTCTTAAGATTTAAGCTGGTAGATAAAATGCTACTACAAAAGCATAGAAATGTGGGGCAAATCTATGTAAATAAGACTCTGGTTGTTAAAAAAAAATTCCTTTAAAGCGTTGGTGGTGGAATGCCTCACTGGCTGCAAGAGTGGCAGAGTGGATGAGTGTGTGAAGGATCCTCTCCTCATCACTCTCCTCAATTCTACAAGATTTTTGCTTGTAGAATTCTACAATTGTGCTGATGAGACGCATTTATGCCAGTGCACTGGTGATGCACAAAAACATTGATATAAACATATCCCACATCACTATGCAAACACATGCAGGGACCACAGGGAGAACATTCAGCAGCCCCAGAGGGGTGAGAGAGTGGGTACATAAAGAAAAACTGGGACTTTATTGAGAGACCTGTGTTTTTACTTTCATGATCTTTCACATAAGGTTTCCTCTTACTCTCACCACGATACCACTGGGAGAGCAGCCATTTCAGAATAAAGGGACTGTAGAGGAAGCAAAATAAGAAAATTCTACCCTAAAGTCAACTAACACCATTCCACTTCGCATCCTGTATCATACCATTTAAAGTGTCAGGGGAGTCAGAGTTTACCAAGTCTGTGCAAACAATTACCACCAGTCTTATAGTTATGTACAAACCTACACTTGTACAAGAATATGCATCTTATTCAGTGACAACAAACATCGTCAAATCACTTGAAATGAGGAAGGACCAGCATTTAAATTATGCTATCTGTGCAGATACACAAATCTTTATCATTATGGCCACATCACAGTATACAATTCTTGCCGTACTATCTCTTTAACTACAATTCAGTGCACACTGGCTTCGTAGAAATGCTGTGTGCAACTATGTATAATGTGATGTATATTATACAGATTAAAATAGATGAGATGACAAACAGAGCTTGTTGTGATCAGAAACGTGTACCACTACCGTCTCATTATTCCAAAATTATGCACTAACAGCACGTTCAATGAATCACACTGTGTCTCACATATCATGCAAAATCATTTGTTTTCTTCTTAATAAAAAGACTTTAATGCTTAGAAAATGCAGTCAGAAAGCTAAAGTAGTACAGCCAGACAGGGGTAGATACCAGATCGTAAATATTTCCCCTTGCCTGCCAGGAGAGGAAGGAGGACAGGAGGAGAGGAGGGGAAAGGAGGAGAATGTGTTTTGGAAGCTAAATACTTTATGCAATGTCATCGTTGTGCTAAATAAAATCAGAGGTAAAAATGTGCCGCTGTAGTTTTTTAGTAGCTCTCTTAGTAAAAAGGTTTGAAACTTGAGTGAAGGTCAGTTATGCTTAAAAATCTTATTTTTGTTTTGTCTTATTTTTAACAGAAAAACTTGTACATTGCTTCATATATCTACATTTCTCTGTAAACATGTATGATAAACAACATTTTATCCCAGTTTAATTATACTATAAAGAATTAAAAATGCAGAGCACGGTTCTCCCAGTAAATTCTGGCTTCCAACTGCTGATTACATTATTCCATTGGATCACTGGTCACACTCGATGGAGGTATCTCTACATCTTGACTTGTCATGTTGCAAATATCTATGACTATGACTTTTCACTCCAAAATTAATAATCAAAACAATTTTCCCTCAAAGCAAAAATCTACTTATCGACATAACATTAACAAACCTCCTATCTAATGTCACTGCCTTCCTTTTGCCAGGTTGAGAGTTTGAAGTCAAATTGAATCCATTTCATCATTCCCACCATTCTTCAGCTATCAATCTTAACATCTTCTCATTAGGATGAAGAGACACTTATTTTTTTGTCACAAGAAATTCATTCAAATGGATTTCCAGTATCTGATGAGGACATTACAGATTGCTGTTTATTCAGCTGCCTTTTCAGTTTACTTTTTCACTCTGCTAACTCAGTGCTGAAATCTCCACAGCGTCCTGGGCACACTGGGACCTTTAAGAAGATGGCCTTGAGGTAAAAACACTAAGCTCAGTCTATTTTTTCCTCTGCTCTTAAGATGATGAATTTCACTGCTTAAATGGCCTACAAACATTGGAAAACCATTAAACCACTAGATTTGGCAACAAATGTCGATATCAACATCTATTGCCATAATTTTCTTTCCAATGTGACTACATTTGAAGGGCTCTGTTGTCAGGTAAAATAATCTCGATTTTATTCATTCAGACATGAAGAGAATTTTATCATCATACAATTTCAGGCTGTTGTTTGATAGCTTCCACAAAGGCTATCAGTAAGATTTTTACGCTGCAAGTAAATGAAACCCATTAAGTGAAGCTTCTAATTTAGCTTTATTTTATGATATAGACACTAGGTTTCAAAAGACTGATGTTCTGACAAATACGCGTAGAGAAGAGGCCTACAAATGAATGTGGGTCAGTCATAATGTTGCTTTCATACAAATGTGTGTGAAGTAATGGACCATTTGCCTTTGGGCAGCCTACACTTGCACAACTCATGATGTCATACAAACAGAGGCTGAGATTGGTGGCACTTTTCTGTTCTTGCCTCTGAATAGAGAACATATTACATTTCCAACATATTCACTGGCTTTGTTTTATAAGTAACCAAACATTTTGTTTTTTTCTCACTCCCGGGTCCTCACAACATCATTCATTTACATCTGTAGTGTTTGGCAGAAGCTCTTTTCTTGAGCAACTTACAATACAGTTCAATACCCACTTTGCACAATGCATTTGCAGGGAAATGTCAACCATTTTTAGTCAGAGGTGAAAGCTAAGAGTCCTACTGTGACTTACCTATTGCTCTGCTGACTGCATTAATGTTGAATTGCTCTACAGGCATATTTTCCATTAGAGATGCACTGATCGATCAGCTGCCGATTGGAAAAGGCCAGTTTGCAGTGTGAAAGTCTGCGATTGGTGACCGGCTGATCAATCTCAGATATCAAATTTAGAATACTGGTCAAAATTACACTCATGGGCTAAACAATGGTTCACATCATGCACACAACGACACAGCCACACAGCCACACAGACACACCCAACATGCCGTCAACATGGAAATTCTTCACCGTGAATGAAGAAAAGACACAAAGCTCACAATTTGTAATACCTGTAAGGCCAAAGGAAATCATGGAAGAATAACCACAAAAACATTCAGAACAAACTTAATCGAACACAATTACCTCACTGAGAAATTTAAAGAATATAGCAAAAGCAAAGTGGCTAAAACTAGTGCCACATCGCTTATCTCACCTGTGCAAGACAGATATACTGCTGCTGCATCTCGCACACGTGTGTCCCCACCACAAGCGTTGCTGGCGTGCCTTGCATAATGGCCATCAATAGTGTAATAACAATAATAATGATAATAATCCATCATTGTCCATAAATCAGCCCAGAAAGTTGCAATCAGTGCATCTCTATTTTTCATGAAAAATGATTCAATGCTTGATTGTTCACTTAAAAATGATAAAATGCAACATTGGCTGCTCATAAAAGATCGCAATTCCTAGCCACAATGAATGCATTCTGGCATCAAACCCCTCTCATATTTCATTACAAACAATAAAATCACTTGGAATAATTACTACCATATCAACTTCTCAACTTTAACTGACTATTGCGTAATTGAAACCCTAAAATGGTATTTTAGAGAAGAAACTATGCATTTGTCAATTTACTAATAAAATCCTCACTACACTCAACTGAAATCTCTGAGACACATCTCTGCCTCAGTTTACTATGGCAAAAATGAATCAATGGCTGGTTGCATCTGTTCTGCCTCTACATTGCCTTTGGATGCAATCACGCCTCCTCTGGAATTCATTTAACATCTCAGCATACCTTAACATTAATTCAACGGTCTACATTAATGTCCTTTTTTGTGTGTGTATTATCTTGAAATGTTATTTGAAAGTGTTTATGAATTTCATATATATTTTAGTGGTGCCTTAATGTGAATTGACTGTGCCACTAAGAATTTTTACCCAAGATAAACAAACGCTTTCAAGTAAAAAAAAAAAAAAAAAAAAAAAAAAAAAAAAACACACTACAGATTCCTTGAGGGGTTTTTAACCATCTACAGTACATGGTTTTTAGTACAATGCTTTGAGTTTTATTGGTTACAACAGTGTAACTAGCAGAATTATGTTGGGATTTTTTATCATCCTTAATAGGGCTAAACGATTTGAAAAGAAATCATATTGTGATTATTTTGGCGGATATTGCGATTTCAGTTGGAATGGTCATTTTTGTGTTTCATTTTGACTGAAATTTTTTTTTTTAAAATGATGAGTGCTTTTGTTATATCTTGTACCAAACAAACATGTTTACACATTTTGGTACATCTGGAGAATATGATTTGTAGACCGGGCATCTCTGTAGCACCACAATGCATATGGTACTAACAAAGCACAACAATGTTGTGACACATTTTACCTTTCTCAAAAAAAAATTGCAGCTCCTGTGATTTAGATATTGCACTTGGCCATATTGGGATTTCGATTATATTTTGATTAATTGTGCAGCCCTAATCTATAATATTCTATAATTTTATAACCAAAACCTGTGTCCATACTGTGTTCTATTATCCTCATTTGACGAGTACCCCCGAGTTGCGCAGGAGTGCGAGGGCCCGTTCATCGCTGCTTGCAGCTTTAATTTAACTTTTGTTCACCCAATCAGTATCGTTTTTTTCTCAATGCATCATATACAGATATCATAATTCATGTTTGGCCAATTCTAAAGACACAGCACCTATATGCTATTCAATGGTGCTCCTTGGATATATAACCACAATCCTAATTTATATATGACAAAAAATACTTTTGCAGATGAATCATTACTGAGAATGGAATCAAACTAATGATTTAGGTAGAAATGTAAATTGGACTGGTAATAAAATATTTTGTCTAAAACACTTATAGCGAAAAAGTGAAACGTATGGCGGTACTTCTTGCAGTACATTTTTCCTTCAGTTTCATTGTTTATATTTAATTGGTGTATTGAGTACAGTTTGTTCTGTCACATGCACAGCTGAAAAACACTTTTATGACCTTTATCGTCTATGCTTAGATGGACACCACACAACTGCCTCTTTCAATGTTAATGGCGTCATTGTGAGAACTCATCATATCCAACTGCATTTAGCAACTGGGAAAGTATTTTCATTTAATGCGATTTATCCGTCACATGAGTAATTCTTAACCATAGCTGTTCTGCTTTGTTTTACTCATCCAAGTGTTATAAGCAGGAGTAGTACGCAAGCATTAGGGAAGTCCATCAATGTCATGCTCTAATGCCACTACTGACACTCTGGCCTTCAGGAACTACTTAAGGGTCTTCTCCCCAGTGTGGTCCCCTTTTCCCTCTGATGCTTCAGCGGTTTCACAGTAAATGCTTATGCTGCCCTGCTCTTTCTGAACTAACTGATCCAGCTACACTCATGGTCATCTGCCCATGGGGAGAAGTCACTTTCAAATGTCAGCATATGATGCTCTAACACAGGCATTCTAGAAATTGAAGGAATGACCACTAATAACGACAGATGATGTTTTTGTTAGCTTGTTGCTCATTGAGTCTATCACTTTGCCTTACCTTTGCATTTGCATTCTTGTTGCTATGTATCCAGCATTGGAGACATAAAAAACGTCTTTTCAAAAAGCATGCTCTATTAAGACATGAGAGCAGCTGCAGTAAAGGAAAAGAAGCAGGATGCAGTTTATCCTTTTTAAAGATATTTGGTTTTGTAAATATTACTATAGCACACGTGGAGTTTGTCAGTAAGAAGTCATACATCTATCTGTTGTGGCAAGGATTACATTTTTCCAGAGGTAGCATTTATCCTTGAGTTGTGATTGTTTCACTCTTTTAGTTCTGCTTAAAGATGTGATTTGTTGCTATAACCACAAATAACAATGTTCTGTTTGTCTGTTCACTATAGCATCACAACATCAGATTAGAGTCAGCATCGCCTTCAATTTACAAAATGCTGCTAGAAAGCTTTTGTGTGTGTGTTGTATGTCTCTCTTTCTCGCACGCACGCACGCACGCACCACACACACGCGCGCACGCACACACACACAGTGAAAGACGAAGACAGCGACCACAGAAAATAATTTTAGTGTTTACAGCTTTGTTTTCATTAGGGAAAAAAGATTCCAGATTGCTGTTTTCAGAGACCTTGTAATCCTAAAGTTGTATCACGAGGGATTCTCTGAGAACAGAGCCACAGAGAGAGAACACAGAAGCTGGATGAAGACTGATGTTTAGAATAAGCTAAGTTAAAATGTCCATGACCAATGGGACGGAGATGAAAAATATAAAATGTTCTATGTTTGGGTCACATCAGAATCCTACATTACCTCGATCAGCTTGTTGGCATGCTCACGGAACACCTGTGCATACTCCTTGACTTCTTTCTCGTTGCCATTCTTTGCAGCTTCAATCAGGACCAAGAGGGGAACATTGGTCTCCAGGAATGAGTCAGAGACATGGTCCATTACAGCTTTACGCAGCTGTGAAGTAAGAAACGAAACAGCACTGTTACAATAATACATCCCCTTGTGTATATGTATTGACATCTAACAGTTCAGCTTGTTCACCTGACTACATAGCATACCATCCCTTCATATACAAGATAAACACTATATTAGCTGAACTACAGATAAACATTTGCTCCTTGTGAAAAAATGATATAGGCTATATATTGTTTACATTAAAAGATTTGTGAGCGCAAATAAAGAGAGAAAAACAAAAAAAACAAACCTGTCTGCGAAGATCTCTGGTTTTCTTTGTCATCCTATCGATGGCTGTGTTCAGAGCATCACTCCTGTCCTTTCTTCCTGCCTGAACCATGAACATGGGAGAGGAGTTAAAGAGTTAGTACAGTGGCAGCTGTTTTCAACATTTTATTTGTGGATGCTTACATTGTGATGAGAGCAAGGATCACACTGAATTTAATCAATATGTGTCTCAGTGTGAAAGGATTAAACAATCTACAGACTATAGTGAATAAAGGCGAAAAGGACCAAATCTACAGACACAGTGTAGTCAGGATACGTTAATGAACCTGTATCTCTACTATATGGTTCCTTTAGCTGATTCGATCCCTTTCTTGCTTTCTCTTTTTTTCTTTAACTTTTTTTTAGACAGTTAGGGTAGTTGGACAACTAAACATTGTTTTAACATTTGTGTGTGTGTTCGCTACCTAAAATGATAGAATTTGCAGTAGGTTCTCTAAAAAGAACTGCAATGTGTGGCCTTTTTGTGCAACTGCTGTAAGATTAAAAACTGGCAAGTCAGCTGTAAAAAAAAAATTGAAAAAGATTCTTTCAAGAACTTTCTGCATGAGGTTAATATTCTATGCTGTTAGATGCTGGTGAGTATATATATATCAGAATGTTTAGTTTGATATTAATTAATATGTTTGAATAAAGTTATAAGGGCTGCATCATGTGAAGGACCAGACATAAAAATAAATTAATATTATTCATTCATTCATATGGTGTTGTAAGTTTGAATTAGAGTAGAGGTGATATTCAAATTTTAGTGCAGCTAGTGCTCTGCAGATATGCAGCCTGATCCATTTCTGATCCTTTCATTTATTGTAAATCATTGTGCTCTGGGTAGACCAGCTGTCAAAATCGCCCGATTGCTCTCTGTAAAACACAGGAATCATTTTCTAACTCGTGGCATTGAGAGTGAACTATGGAGCACACAAACAAACAAAGGCCAACAGTTTCAATTAATAATATACACACACTGAAAGCATTGCATCAGTAAAAGGAACAGCTGCTTTGGGTTAAAAAACAACTGATTTGCATCTGTATCAGTGCGGCATTCCATGCGCACCACATCCACTGAAATGTTAAAAGTGCTGCTGTTGTTTGCAAACTGCATTTATATCTGGAATTTAATTGCATAATTAATTCATGGACACATCAAGAGAGGGTATCCAAATCATGTCCAAGCCTTCCCACCACTGCAACTCTGTGAGTACTGTAGAGACAACTGCACAATATATTAGAGTAAACCTTTGAACGCAACATGTGACGATTCTAAATATTTAACATCTCAAATAAGGATATGGGACTAATAAAATTTGATGATTTGGGCACCCCTAATTTTAAATAGGTTTGTCTTAGTGTTTTCTATTATTTCTAAAATCCATTTGCCTATCCAGTTGCCTAACTAAAATTGTACTGTAAGAAGTTATTCGTATAGCTCAATGTTACATAAACTTTTTTTCTGGAACCTGGAAACACTGTTCTCAACCAATTAAGGTTTGACTTGTGAGAAAGAGTTGACTTCCTAACATTGTTACCAAGCAAAAACACTTGACACACTGACTATGTTTGGGGAGAGGTTGACATGCTGACAATCATGTCAGCATTTTCAAATAGCTGTGTTCATCCCCTTCAACCTGAGACCAGTGTTTTAACAGATCTCCATTTAAGGGCATGAAACACACCATCGTGGAAGCTGTTTGCAGACGGACATCCAGAGCTAAGATGAAAAAGTACAAATTTATATCTGTGGACATGTTCTACTGCTAATAAATAAAATGCAGCTGTACAAACGTTAATTGCTGTGACAACCGAAATAAAAATGTTAAGTAAAACTGAAAATAATGTTCTAATCTCTTGTCCACATTTGTATTTTTTCTCATATTCAATGAGAAATTTCTGATTAAAAGGTTACAATTTACTCCACATGGCTAAATGTGCAAATTATGTACAGTATCACTGCAACATACTGGCAGTAGTCACACAGTTAAGCACTAGGCAGGAGTCAAAGCTCTAACCACTGCTCCCCACTGAGAGCAGAGATGTTCAGTCACATTCTGCAAACTGCTCAAGCAAAAACTTAACATCTAAAACTTTCAGGAGGGATGGAGCGAACGAGAGAAAGAGAGTGAGAGACAGACAGATAGATGGACAGATAGTGGAGAATAATAAAATTAGAGCAAAATTAGATGAACAGGAAAGGGCAACAGAAAAAAAGGCAAAGATCCAGTTGGACTCTGGGCTGTTCATCCCACTTATAATGCTTAAATCAACTGCGACATAACGCCATGGATGGCGGTGGCACTGACCTACCCCCATCCCCCATTGCCCCTTGCCCATTGGGGGGTTGTGTGCATAGTTAGGGGCTGGGGGGCTCCAACGGCACTAATCCCCTGTGATTTTGTGCCGACTGGATGCAGTGCTGTGGTAGGGCTTTAGTCTGCTCTGCCCCTGCTCTCTCAATCCTATTTCATTCATGCCTAGCCTATATTTCATTTCCACGCCAGAGGGTTCTAAAGCACTTCTTCAGGTGCTTATTATGGAGGCAGTTTCTCTGCGGCATCTTTTATGATACTCAAGTGAGTCTCTATCCATCTCCTTCAGGACAGATTTAGGAACATCCCTTCTCTACAAAACCACTAGTCCACTGGATTATAGAAAAATTCAATGGAAATAAAGTATGCTCCGAGAGTCAAATGATCACCGAGTTCTGTGATATTGCTTTTTGATATTTCTGCAAGTTCAGTTAATTGGATGTCCATTTATAATTTTTTGTTTATCTATTTATTTTTCTAATGCTTTTTAAACAGCTTGAAGTCCAAATGGAAAGCTAACACCCATCAAATAGAAGGAATATCCATCATGCCCCCTGAGAGTTAAGCGGTTTTTCCCCATGTTTTCCACTCTCACATTCTACTGAGGCGTCCCAGTGAGACATGTAATCTGGCACAATAAATGTGGAGAATGGCAGCGGCATGCTGGTCAGCTGACCTCAAAAGTAACAGCCAGATGCATGTGTTGTCTTATGATCTGAGAATTATGCAATAAAATTAATTGGGTTAAATTGGGAGTAAAATTTGGTACCATCAATATTTTAGGTTCTCTACACAGTTCAGTGATTTTGTGATGTTAATTTAGCTCTTCAGTATATACTTTTCAATTATAAAAATAAAAGATTTGTTTCAGTTAGACACAGTGGGAATTTAACAGGAGTTAAAATCCATGTAATATAACAACACAGTAAAATAATCAAAGAAAAAAGTAGAAAGGGGTGTGGCTATCTCCAGCAATCTGAGGTTATGTTTATGTAAAATATGCTTTTGTGAAGTAAGGAATGACAGCTTTAAACTGCTTTAAATCTAGCTCATTGCAATTACTTTCACACCCATCTCCACCCACATTAAATAATTAAGGAAAAGTCTGAATTTTCATGCAGTGCAGAACAGACATCACATTCTGTTTAGCACTCTAAATGGTGCTGAAATATATCCTGCTTTTAACAAAACCATAAATCAAACCATTTGCTCAATATCAAAGAAATACCGTTAACAGCATTTTAGTTACTTTGATCTCACCTTATGTATCAAACCATCAAGCAAGTATTCGGCCCCGTCTATTACATGTTAAAAGCTAGCCTAATTTAACTTCAGAGCAGCTGGCCATACATCATATGCCTGTGCTCAAAAATTAAAGCACTGCACTCAGGATATGTAAATTATGAATATAAGCCAGACACCCTATGTTACCACTACTATAGCATACTACTATGGCAATGCAGCACACCTTTGTTCAATCTTGCCCATGTTTATCTTGCCACATGTTACAAACAATATTTTTCTTTGTTATACTGTTTTGTTTATGTCTCGGGTATATATTCATACAGAGCACATGTAGAACAACGGCAAGGCGAGGCTGAGATTTACAGCTGTGGTTAATTTCAACAGCAAGCTGCTGCAACACGTTCAAGATATCAATATTCCGATGGTGACGAGCCAGTGGGAGGGAAGGGGGGATGCCAGAGGGAGGTGGAGGAAGACTGAGGTGCACAAGCAGTGTGTATGAGGCAGAGAGCAAGTGACTGAGCAAGAGAGTGAGAGGGTGTTTGTGTGAGTGGGAGGGAAAAAGAGAGAGAGAAACAGTAGTGATGATCGACGCCAGGCTGCCACCACTCTGTAGCAGTGAGTGGCTGCAACAAAAAGCTCAGAATAACATCCCTGACTCCCTGCTCTGCTTTTTTCTCTCTCCCTGCGTCTCAGCTAGCAGACGAGGGCTCCGCTCACAGCTCTGCAGAGGCTATGCTGAGACTGAGCCGGCATCGGAAGCAGGATCTCTGGCTGCCATCAACAAGTTAGGGTTGGAAGAGCACAGCCATGAAAGAGGAATGCTTGATCTTCAATTAACCATTTGAGCTGACATCATTGCGGTGGAAGGGAAACAAAAGGGTAAAAAAAAGAAAAAGAAAAAAAAGGAGAAGGGGGGGGGGGTCTGTTCACCGGAGTCGCTCTGGATGCAACTGATCAACTTAAAAAAAAATATATATAAATATTTATTTCAAGGATTCGTGGGATGAAGGAAAAGATTCAACCCTTTCTTTGAGCTTGGATTTTAAAAGGACTCTGAGTAAAATAACAGGAATAAACACAATCTTGGGACATGGAATTTCATATTTTGTTTCATTTGGGTGGGCTCAGAATTGCTTTATTTCCAAAGAGGCTGATTCCTTTTGTGCTTACTCAAAAGGGTTTTTTCCCTTTGGATTTTTCTTCCATCTGGTTGCTCCAAGAGTCTGCGGAAAAGGACAGTTGAATGCAGCCTCCGATGTGCACAAAAGAATGGGTAAGTTAGCCCCTTTATACGGCAGGTCGGGACATGAATAGGGAATACAAGTAAGAGCACAGGAGGCTGAGGACTAAAAGCTCTTCAGTCTAGTCTATTTACTGCAATTGTCCTTCATTTTCTTTCTTCACTGACACATGAGTTGTGAATATATACTTTTTAAATACCATTAGTATTTTATACCAGATGTCTTGAGTGACAAAAAAAAAAACTTGATTGATTTAAAAAAGAAAAACCTAAAGATTCCAAGTACAACAGCATACTTGTGCTGCTCAAAAAGGAAAAAAAAAAAAAAAACATGACAAAATTGATAAATGACAGTTATGAGAAATTTAGTATTTATAGCATTAAATTACAGAGCACAAAATATGAAAAAAATATAATTAAAGGAGTGGAAATAAAGTCCAGCTCATGATCATTAGATGTCAAAGTAAATGATATCTCCATTAAACATAAGCTCAAAGAAATCGTGTTTGTTTAAGTTGTCAATGTAAAATACCTAAACCGACGTATGTATGGGAAAGAACAAGAGCACACAAAAAGCACAATCGCCACCATGAATTAGTAATAAGTGCTCTGCAGAGATTAGCTTTCCCGCCCCACAGTTCATTTTCTTATCTTTGAACCCACCCAGGTTTCCATTCAAGGTGGCCATTGGTGGGACCTGCACCAGCGGCTCTGTGTCTGTGTGTGATCAGCATGCTCCTCGTGTGCCTGCTGCCTCCTGCATCGTGCACAACCTGCCCTCAAAAATGCCGCTGTGAGGACCTGCAGTTCTACTGCGACACCCAGGGGCTTCAGGCACCCCCAGATGGTGTGGACAAGGGGGCCCTGGGGTTGTCACTACGCCACAATAGCATCACTGAGCTCAGCCCTGATCAATTCTATGGATTCAGCCAGCTCACCTGGCTACATCTAGACCACAACCAGATTACCACAGTACAAGAGGATGCCTTTCAAGGGCTCTACAAGCTGAAGGACCTCAACCTGAGCTCCAATCGTATCACCAAGTTGCCCAACACAACCTTCATCCACCTCATCAACCTCCAGATACTGGACCTGTCCTTCAATCAGATGACTGCATTGGAACCAGAACTGTTTCATGGACTGAGGAAGCTCCAGATACTCCATCTTCGTTCCAATTTACTTCGCACCACACCTGTTCGGGCATTCTGGGACTGCCGCAGCCTGGAATATCTTGGCCTGAGTAGCAACCGTCTACGGAGTCTGGCTCGGAATGGATTTGCTGGGCTCATTAAGCTTAAAGAGCTCCACTTGGAGCACAATCAACTGACCAAGATCAACTTGGCCCATTTCCCTCGCCTTGTTGCCCTGCAGTTTCTATATCTTCAATGGAACAAGATCAGCAATCTCACATGTGGCATGGAGTGGACCTGGACCACTTTAGAGAAGCTGGACCTCACAGGAAATGAAATTCGTGTCCTGACAGCTGATGTGTTTCAAACGCTGCCAAATTTAAAGATTTTGCTGCTGGATAACAACAAACTAAGCAGCCTGGATCCCCAAGTCATGGATATGTGGCAGTCTCTGGGCACCATTGGGCTGTCTAGCAACCTTTGGGAATGTACCAAAAGGATTTGCTCTCTGGCCACTTGGCTAAGCACCTTTAAGGGAAGGTGGGAACATTCCATTCTCTGCCATAGTCCTGAATATGCCCAAGGTGAGGAGATACTTGATGCTGTTTATGGATTCCAGCTTTGCCAGAATTTTTCAGCACCAGTTGTTCAGACCATTAGTACAACCACAGACGCTACTACAGCTGCAGAGATCACAAGCTCCTTGTTTGGAATTATGCAGCCGACCCCCACACAGGACTATGCAGAGGATTTTGGGAGCTTTACCACAGTCACTACCACAACAACCACAACACAAACACCACGCACTGCTCAAGCAACTACCGCTACATTGGAAGAGGCAGCTGTAACGGACGACTTCTCAGCAATGGACAACACTGTTATGACTCATAGGGTTATCATTGGAACTATGGCCCTTCTATTTTCATTCTTTTTCATCATTTTTGTTGTGTATATCTCACGGAAGTGCTGCCCTCCCACCCTGCGTCGGATACGCCACTGTTCGGCTATACAGAACCGCAGACAGATGAGGACCCAGCAGCGGCAGCCTATGGCAGATCTAGCTACACAGGTACCCTATAATGAGTATGAGCCCAGCCATGAAGAAGGGGCACTCGTGATCATCAATGGCTATGGGCAGTGCAAGTGTCAGCAACTGCCTTACAAAGAGTGTGAAGTATGAACTCTTATTTATTCCTAGAGCATATGGTTTGCCATTTGACCATTTCAGATGATACAGGGTTTGCTTTTTTGATTTTTTTTTTCCAGTTAATGTAAAAAGCATAATTTCTACAAGTGAGATTTGAGAATATGTGAGAAATGTTGAATGCTACAATGACAGAGGTTGGACATGACAGTTTAGGGATGAGGTAGAGATAGTCACAAATTTATTTTTCTATGAATGCAAGGTTGTTCATATCAGGCAGGGGGCAATCATTTTAAACAAGAAAATTGTAAACTGTGAGATTTGTCTCCACATTGTCTCTATATTCTGCAGCACAGAGAAAATACTTAGCCAAATGGCCCTCTGCTAACGGAATACATTAAGTGGAGAAATGTGATTTACATCTTATTTCTTTTACAAAGTAAAATATTTGAAATCATGTTTCTAAATGCACCACAGGCACTGTAAGCCAATCACTCAATCACTGGGTCAAATGAATTGGATCAGTTATCAGAATGTTTTTGATTTACAGTTTCATTGTTTTGGAAGTATACATTATACATTAAAGGCTACTAAGACCAAACTCAAATTCAGAATATAACTGGAAAATAAATGTCATTATTGTTATTCTGCTACCAATAAAAAATCCTCTCTTGAGGAGAGAAGACCCTACAATTCTATTCAGTATACATTAATGATATTACTTTTGCCAAATCAGAAATGAGTCAATTGGGCAAGTCTATAACCTTCCATCAGATCAAAAGGCTCTCAGTGTTTCCTGCAGAATTTATTTGGACAGCCCACCCCAAAAATAGCTGTCCTTAGCAAAGAAAAAGGATTATTTTTTGTTTTGGAATTTGGGTTTCTTCCAAAAATGTGTCAGTGCAAATGCAACTAAAAGTGTACACTGACTGAAATGACTGCCGGAATGGTAAATTTATGTTCAATTATATAAATTGGAAAAATGACCTCTTTAATCAGATGTTAGCTCGTAATTGCAATGCTGTTTGCAACTGACTCTCAAGTTGTTGGGGGTTGGAGCTCCAGCCCATGGGGGGCAACTGCCACAAATAAATTCTCAACCTGTGGGAAACACTAAGCACTGTTCATCTGTAGTTAATCTCCAATATGCTACACTGCTTAGCAAAACAAATGGATGTCTTCCTCACCTTGGACATCAAGAACAAAATTATTAGACGTTTAAATGTTCCATGACTAGTACATGGATTCTCTAGCATCAAAATGCAATACACACTGTGACCATAATATTTCGAACAGTTTCACATACGAAGTACAGTTTCTTGATTTGCTATTATATAGCAGGATCAATATACAGACAAGCTAGTGTGAGATTTGAGGGTAGCAAGTGAAAGGGTACTGAACAGCGCAAATTCCAGATAGGAGAGCATTTCACTCTGAAAATAAAGCCTTTCTCAGTGGCCCAGGCTCTTTACTGCTTACACTCTAATCAGGACTGACAGGCTCAAGATTGAACCAATTAAGGCAAGGCAAAAAGAATCTAATATTCTGTCACCCACACCAGTGATCCAGCAACATTTAGCTTGTTCAGCCACTCAAAAATAGCTCTAGTAGAATCATCTTCCACACCACACAAAAACATCATTGAACCTTTTATTTTAAGACACTGCTCTTATTAGGGATACTGAGTTGTCATTTACAGTCTTAAAATGGGGTTAGGGTGAATAATAAATATTAAAGCAGTTCCTTGGTTAGCAGTCATGAGTGTCAAGTTAAACTGTGGTCAATACCCTGAAAGCAAATGGAGATCCAGTGATAAGCAAACAGCAAGCCTGGGTCAGGACACATTTGTATGCAGCAGGGAGAGGATGTGCATTAGCATCAGACTAAAGCTGCTGCCGCAGCTCCGCACTTCTTTGTGTTCAGTTTGGTGGTGGGGGCAGGGTGAAAGAGAGAGGAATTGATGGGACGATGGCGAGGGGCAACTATGGGGTAATGTCGTAGTTTATCAAAACCAACGAGCATCTCTCTGGCTAAGTAAAGGTAGTAGAGAATGTAATGATGAATACTGACTGATAGCACCTTGGGCTTGAAATGCACACTGACCACACAGCAGCAGCAGTTTTACTACTAGTGAACTGATGAGCTGTCCAATGTTAGAACAGTGAAAATACAAGTAAAATTCTTCACATTGGAAATCGGAAGATGGCATTTTCTCGACAAGTCAACTTTCGGCTATGTTTAACATAGTCCATCAAGATGGCAAGATGTTTCTGAGAGAATAGCATCTTGAAGTGAAATATAGGTTTTGAGCAATTAGGATGCAGTTGGTTGGCTGGTGCCCCCTAGAGGTAGCCAGGGGGTACGATTTGTGGCTTTGTCTCAAATTTGGCTTCAAACTTCTAAATGAATGTTTGTGTCAATGTTTCTCTGCACATGCTCATAGGATGCATACAACATCTTCTAAGAAAGCGTGTAAACCAAAAATTGTTACACTTCACATTTGAATTCAATGAAAAACATGCAGACACTGATCATACCGATTTCCAAAGCCAAGCACCTCCACTTTCTTTCTAATTTTATTTTCTTCCAGCTTCGCACTGCTTTTACTATTGCCCTTCTAATCTGTCTTGCATGTTCAAAAGTCAAAATTGAGTTGAATATTTCTTAATGTCATTCAGCAAACATTATGGAGAGACCTCATTTTTGATAACGCAGTAATGGGGATGTGTGTGGAATTCCTATAAAGTTCTGTCAATCATTTGACATTTCACTGTTTAAGACAACGGTTGTACTAAGTGACTGAAAATCCACAAAATTTGTAGAAATATGCATCCCTTTGCACTCTGGCTCTTTGTAAACTGTTTTTGTTTCCTCTTGTCATCCTCTAGTCCTGGTCCCCACCCTGCCTAAAAATAAAAAAAGAAAAAACAAGTGAACCAATCCCCTCTCTCTTACCCAACCTCTTTGTGCAAAATGGATGCTTTTCTCTTCCCATTTTCCTTTTGTATTGTAATATGTACAATTTCATATCTGTATAGTGGATAAGATGTGCCAAACTGAAAAAGAAAAAAGAAAAAAAAACATTTTCCCCTCAAAACATATATTTTTTAAATAAAATGGTTATAATTTACACAGTGTTTGCTAAATGATGGGTGCTCACAACATGGTTTGGTCTTTCTTTACATTTGGGTTCAATGTATAAATCTTAAGCTTACGAAAAAATCCCACCAAATCAAACCCAACCCTTGATGAAGTTGGTATGCAATGGTATATTGTGAAAACTATGATACATGTTCAGTTTCTAATATGATTTTTTTTCTAGTAACAGTTTAAATCACTAAAATTTAAGAGATTAATTCAAGTTCTCGTCCACCAATGAACACCAACACAATGATTAGATCATCAAGTTTAAAAGTCAATGTGATTTAAAATAAAATCTATGATGTTGTTTTGCAAAACTCATGTTTCACAAAAAAGTAGAAAGAGACTTCTGCGGACCCCTAAAAACAAATGAGTGGATCCAAAGTATTATCCCTATACCAAACCAAACCTTGAAAACCCTGCCTTAAGGCAGAGTGATGGAGTGTTTTTACAGTTATGAATGTGAACATTTAAATTTAAATGAGAAGTGTAGACAAACCAATTATATTTTTTTCAATCAGTTGGGTAGTTGTTTAGTCTATTAAGTGCCAGAAAATAGTGGAAATGGCCATCCAAGCATTCCTATAACCCAAGGTAATGTCTAACATAATAACCCTAACTGAGAGGTATTGAATTATTAATGATATCTACAACAGAGAAAAGTTAAATCTTTACATTTAAGCAGATGACAGCAGCAAATGTTTTAGATGCATTTTATAATTGATTAACCGACTCTCAATTTCAATGGGTTTGTCATGCAAAGAAAAAACAACATACTGAGAAATGTCACAGATATTCACAGACATCAAGATTCTGAAAAAATTTAAGATTATGAATTAGGTGCCTAGTTGTCATCAGGGTGTTCGCTTGCAGTTATCATTTAAGGCTCCACTGAACTACATTTTTATGGTGTTTTGCAATATGGCAACACATTGTTTTTATATAAATCTGGTAAAAATCAATACAAGATTAACAATAGCAAAACTTGCATTTCCTCCCTTGTATAAGATTTGGGATGCATGTTCAAGTGTTGAAGAATAGTAATAACTGTAGCATCTTAGACAAATTGACCGTATGACATTGACACTGGTCAATTATCAATTTGGTTGCTCAACTGATTAAAAGTTTTAATAAATTCAAACTATACTCACTACATTTAAGTACTGTGAGGCAAGCAACACTTTCAGATTTGTTTTTTTTTTTTGGAACAAGGAGAATTGAAAGGACTTTTAAAAAGCTGGCTTTTTACCCTGAGGTTTTGCAAAATGGACATGCAGAAATGACCTGCACAGGTACAACTTTGGGTTTTCAAAGTTAACAGATTGTATGCATGTTAATGAAGATAAAACCACAAATTCAAAATGTAACAGATTCACAAACTGAAGCTGGGTGATATCCACCAGGAAAGTTAGATAAGCCAAGCATTTTGCAATTTATGTGTGGATATATTCATGATCAAAGCATAAACTTTACCTCATCTATAGAAAATATGAATTGTTTGTTACAGCATAAAGGTCATAGTCATCTATTCATATACTGATGAAAGAGACTACGTAAAAACTTGTTCGCCCATTTGAGGGAAAAGAATTGCAGTTTTCTGCATGTTATGTTCACAAAGTTAGATTGCAAGAAGAGAAACCTCCAAGTGTTACGTGGTAAGTCGAAGTTATATATTTTTTTTTAATGAGACAATTCATAGATGTGACATCTAATGGAGATCAAGAGCAGCTTGTGCACCACTCCATGAGTCTGACTTATCTCAATGAAAAATTTGTGAATAAACTACACAAAGACTATTCAAAATTTTCACTGTGCATCAGATGAAACATTTCAACTTTTATTTCTGTTTTTGTTTTGGACTTGGTTTTAACAAAAATGATTTGCAAAAAACTATTAGAGTCTCTATTCCACAATAACAAATCTAAAGTATATGGAGAAGTTAGAGGTAAAGAATGTAGTGTCAATCTATATCAGTTTCATCAATCTACACCTCAAATACCCCATTATGATAAAGCCAAAACACAATATTAGAAAAATTTGCAATTTTCTTTGTCACAGAGTTGACCAAG